TCCTCCTGTTGGTTAGCCGTTAGCGGTGCTGCTAACGTTACTAGCTCACCTCCTGTTGGTTAGCCATTAGCGGTGCTGCTAACGTTACTAGCTCTCCTCCTGTTGCTTTAAACACTGATTGGTTGTTTACAATGAAACATGATCAGAGATCAGAGACTAGAAACACATGTTCTACTGAGTATTGGAGGAGAACCATCGTCAGTAAAACTTTATTTCACACCCGTTGGGGGGGTTTGACCTTGTCTGGGACTATTTTCCGCGGCGGATGAATCCACATCTGGCGCTCTAGTGAGTATTTTTTATGTGGGATTGTGTGATTAAATGGTGAGGTGATGTGTTCAGTGATATCAGGACACTTTTAAACATTCACTGCTGGTTTGAGTCTGAACACGAAGATTTGAACGTCACCTTTAAATACAGACTTTAATCAGCACACTGTTTCTGTCCCATAAGACCATTAGACCCCATAAAGACAGGAAGACAAACACACACACACACAGTTTCTGTCTTCCTCATAAAAACGTCAATGCTCATAAAGACATTTTATCTCCCTCTCTGTCTCTGTTTTTATGTTTTCTTCTTCTTCTACTCATCCCCCGCCTCTCTCCTCTCCTCCCCCCTCCCTTCTTCGTCCTAAATCACACATTAAACCTGTTAAAAGGTTTTCGTCCCGGTCGCCGGGCGGAGCAGAGTCAGACAGAGGCAGCAAGACACCTGATTGGCTGATGGCATTTTATGCGGCAATGGAAAACTGGATAAAAGTGCAATTTTTATAAAAAAGCAGCCAAGTAGGGTGTAGAGATGACTTCATCATGGAGATCACACACACGCACTGCATGGTGGTAAGTGTGAAGTCATGTTCATGTGTGAATGTACTGTAAGTGCATGTATATATATATATATATATACATACAGTATATACATGTATATGCACTAAACCAGGAGACAACCTCTGGTTCTTTAAAGCTTCATGTGTTAAAGCTGCATTCTCTCTAGTGTCCACCAGGGGGCAACTCCTCTGGTTGTATATTACATTACAGTCATTTAGCAGACGCTTTTATCCAAAGCGACTTACAATTCAGATTCTATCACATTTCTACACAGTAGGCACAACTACAGGATCAATTTTGGGGTTAAGTGTCTTGCTCAAGGACATATCGACATGCGATGTCGAGGAGCCGGGGATTGAAACGCCAATGAGAGACGTCACCATGACGACGTCTTTTAAACAGTCTGTGAGGATGATGAGTGGAAGACTCACCTGTTTACACTAAAGACTCACCAGGGCCCCGTTCCTCGTACGTGGTTCAGCTAAGTCGATCAAATG